ACCTGCCCCTCACTGCTGTCCTGCTGCCCACAGAGCTCAGCACCTGCAGGCTCAGGAAGGCGAACACTGAGGTCTGGGACTGTATGTCATAGACCATGTGCTCTTTCATCCCAGACTCAGATGCTGTGAATTCAATAAAAGAGACCCTACTGGGCTGAAAAAGGACCAGGGGAGCCTGACTCAGTCCCTCCCCACTTATCAGGACCAGGCTGCCCCACATGCAAATTTATCTGCAGGCTCCAGGGTAAAACCCTCCTTGGGCTGTGAGCTCACAGCTCTCTCCTCACACAGGGCTGAGTTTCTGGGGAAGGCAGAGCTGTGGTCTAGAAGATGAGGCTGCTGGGTCTTCTCCTGTGCCTGGTGACAGCCCCCCAAGGTGAGGGTCTCAGATGTCAGACATGGTCTGTTGTATCGATGTGACTGCACATGAGTGACAGACTGATTCTCCTTGTCCCCAGGTGTCCTGTCCCAGGTGCAGCTGCAGGAGTCGGGCACAGGACTGGTGAAGCCCTCGCAGACCCTGTCCCTCACCTGCACTGTCTCTGGATTCTCTTTAACCAGCTACAGTGTACACTGGGTACGCCAGGCTCCAGGAAAGAGGCTGGAGTGGGTTGGTGTTGTGTGGAGTGGTGGAAGCACAGACTATAACTCAGCGCTTAAGTCCCGCCTCAGCATCACCAGGGAAACCTCCAAGAGCCAAGTTTATTTAACACTGAAGAGCCTGACAGCTGAGGACACGGCCGTGTATTACTGTGCAAGGAACACAGTGTGGGGAAATCAGTGTGAGCCCAGACACAAACCTCCCTGCAGGGGACAGGAGGGCTGGGCTGCAGGGGGCGCTCGGGACACCAGGCAGCGCTCAAGACCCACAGATCCGGTGTGACCTGGGTGGGGTTGGGGCTCTTTGTTGGGAGAATAGATTTCCTCTGAAAGCTCTCAGCTGCCCTCAGGGACAACACTTGCTTCTTCTTTGTGGTTTCGTTTCTCATCCTGTCACTGCAGACAACACGTGAAGAAGGGACATTGTCTGTGTGCAGATGACATGTCACACTGACTGGGGACCACTCCTTCACCAAGTTCCTGTGTGTCCTTTATTTCTTGATAAAGTGACCACCCTGAGGACTCTCGTCTCCCTGTGGCTGGGAAACACTCTCCACAGAGAGGCCCTAGTGCAGCCCAGGCCCCTGTGTGCTGAGCTCAGGCTCTCTGCCCCCCACATGCCCACGGGGCCCCCACATGGCCCTTCCTTCACACAGGCCGACCTGTTCCCACAGGGGATCAGCCCCCCAGGACCTCTACTCACGGGTCTCTGTCCTCCAACAACACATTACCCTGTTGGTCGTCATTTACTCAGGTGGGTGTAGAAACCTACTCAATCATCTTTTCTCCACTATCACAATACTTTTTTCAGTCCAATTTCCTTCTGTTTCCCTCTGATAAGGACACTTGGGAAGACAGTTTGGTCCCACCCGGATAATTGAGGGTACTCTCCCATGTCAGCACCCTCAGCCAGGTCTGCACAGTCCTGTCATATAAGAGAACACTCTTAGGTCCTAGCAATAAGATTCTACGTAGTCCGGAGGGTCACTGTTCAGCTCCTCACACTGCCCTGGGGATGAGCACATCAACTGCAGCTCAGGAACCTGGGGACCGGTTACCTTTCCTGTGGTGATGCAAGTTGTGTGGGAGAGAGAGTATGTGTGTTCACATTAATTTGTTTGTAAATGTGTGAATATGTGTGTGTGTATACATGGTAATTAGTTTTCATGTCAAAGACAGTATGAGTGCGTGGGCACATATAAATTACCACATGTGTATGTGTGTGTGTGACCCCAAACTTCCCTACAGAGCACAATCGTGACTCCAGACACACGTCCGAGGAGCAGCTCTCCCTGCAGCTGTGCTACGTGACCACCGAGGACACGGCCGTATGTCACTGTCCATACACAGGGAGTGACGGAGTGTCAGTATGGACACTATAGTCCCACTACAGGGAGAAAGGGTGGGGCTGGGCTCAGGGTGCGCGCAGGACCCAGGGTCACAGGGGCCCATGTGGGGAGCAGGTGCAGAGGGCGGCTGAGAACACGTTTCCTGACTTAGCCAGCACTTCCTCTCCTTGCACAGAAAACATCTTCTAACAGACCTTCCTCCTCTCATATTTGTGTGCAAGTGTTACTCTGTCTCTGTGAGTGTGTCTGTTAAATGTGCATTTGTGTGCACACATGTGTGCCATTTATCATGTGTGAGTTTTGTGTTCAGTGTGCAGATGTAACTGTGTGTGCTTTACCTGGTACGTGCTATTTTATGTGTGTCAGTGTGTCAGTGTGTGTGCATCAGTGTGTGTGTAATTTATGTGTGTCTGAGTGTTGCTATACTATTTGTACTGGCGTGACTCTTGTGAAAAGGCCAGGCCTTCATGTTTCTTCACAGCATTTTCTAATTTTTCAACAAAATGGCTCAGATAATGAAAATTATGCCCGATAACAACGCGTTCTAAGTGTCTGTGATTTTCCTCAGTTCTTTTTAACCTTTCACTGATGGTCTAACCACCACAGGTTCATTGCTGAGAGATTCGGCTCTGTGACCAGCTCCACATGTGTATCACAGGTGGACACAGAGCTCCACACCCTCTCCCTGTCCTGGTTCCAGGGACAGCAGCCGGGCACTCCATCTGCTGACAGGACTGGTCAAGCTCTGGGCTGGTGGACCTCACCCCGTCATCTCTGGGTCCACACGGATTCCCAGGAAGAGCTGTCAGCTCAGTGCTCCAAACAGAGGGATCCCCCACCTCCATCCTCCAGGGACCCCTGTGTCCTGCAAGAAGCAGTCCCAGCACCCCGGTAGGGATATGTGACAGGGAGTGCTGGGATGTGCATCACCAAACTCCGCCCAGATTTCCTCCTGGATCTGCGGCTGTCAAGCTTCACTGCAGTGAGATTGTATGGGGAGCGTGCTGGAATCCAGGGGCCGCCCACGGGGACCACCTGACTCCCTGGGGCCTGATGTTCAACAAGCACCATCCGTGATTGTGATGGTCAGAGAGGGTGCAAGTTTCTACCAAAGATCTTCTAAGAAGGAGCAGATGAGCGCTTGACAACTTTAAGTAAAATATCATGATGAGCCCGTCAATAGACAAGAAAATGCCACAGAGTGAGTGTATCTCCTCACATGAATAGTGATCAGCTTTCATGCTGTGTGTAAAAATAAAACAAATTCTAGTAAAAGTCACCAGTAAAGTACAAGCAGTTGGAATACTAGGAGGAAGCACCATCTGCCCTGAGAATATTGCCGACTGTACATTAATATGTGGAAGGTACCTGGACACANCCTCCGCACTTATCAGGACCAGGCTGCCCCACATGCAAATTTCTCTGCAGGCTTCAGGGTAAAACCCTCCTTGGGCTGTGAGCTCACACAGGGCTGAGTCTCTGGGGAAGGCAGAGCTGTCGTCAGAAGATGAGGCTGCTGGGTCTTCTCCTGTGCCTGGTGACAGCCCCCCAAGGTGAGGGTCTCAGATGTCAGACATGGTCTGTGGGATGTCTGTGACTGCATGTGAGTGACAGACTGATTCTCCTTGTCCCCAGGTGTCCTGTCCCAGGTGCAGCTGCAGGAGTCGGGCCCAGGACTGGTGAAGCCCTCGCAGACCCTGTCCCTCATCTGCACTGTCTCTGGATTCTCCATCACAACCAGTGGTTACTGCTGGTACTGGATCCGGCAGCCCCCGGGGAAGGGGCTGGAGTGGATCGGGCGCACATGTGCTAGTGGTAACACATACTACAGCCCGTCCCTCAAGAGCCGCACCTCCATCTCCAGAGACACGTCCAAAAACCAGTTCTCCCTGCAGCTGAGCTCTGTGACCTCCGAGGACACGGCTGTGTATTACTGTGCAAGGGACACAGTGAGGAGAAGTCAGTGTGAGCCCAGACACAAACCTCCCTGCAGGGGACAGGAGGCGCTGGGCTGCAGGGGGTGCTGGGCTGCAGGGGGCACTCGGGACACCAGGGGGCGCTCAGGGTCCATGAGGCTGTGCCAGTACCACCTGAGGCACTTGAAATATTTGAGCTCAGGAAGGAGCCTGAGGGCAGGTGTAACAGGGAAGGAGGAGAGAAGTGGAGGAAGTGTTTTGTCACCATGTAGAGTCACTTTAGTTGGATTTAAAATATCTAATGCTAGAGACCCTCCACTGCACCTATTCTCAACAATGACATGGTGCATTGACACTTCAAACTCAATAGACATTTACACATGGCACACACTTACACATGGACGTACTTACACTTTTTTCTTCATCTCTTAAATTGGGTTTGTGTTGTGAACAGGAGTCGCATACAGCTGACACTGCAGTAAATTATCAGAATGTAGGTCCCTGTCTTGGCAGTCTTCGGAATCTCCAGCTAAAATTAATTATGATAATAATAATAATAAATAGTAGCAATGGAATAATAATAAAAATTTTCACGTTTATTCGTCTAATAATAGGAAGAGTTAATTCATTGAATAAAAAATTAATCTTAATTGGAAATTAAATTTCCCATATTGTTTTCCCAAAGAACCTGGAAACATATACATCCTCCTTCACCCATCAATTTTCAGGAATGTTCATTCCCACCTTAGTCCCCAACCCTCTGAAGAGCCTCATGTCCTCAGGAGAAAAGATAAGAAAGAGAGGAAAACCTGCCATGTCCGTGGGAGTAGCAGCTGGTGCCTCACTTGATTTTCTCCATCTTATGTGGCCATCGAGGACCAGGTCCTGCACCCCTAAGAGACTGTCAATAAAGGGCTTCCTAAGAGATGCTTAATAAATGGCTATAATAAGGTTATTTTCATACACAATAACACACACATACACAAGCATACACACACGAGCACACACAGACGTATTTAATGTATGTGTTACAATATACAAGATATATTCTTATAAGATGAAAAATACAGGTTTAAAATGTCTTCTTTTCCAAAAGAATTCCTAATGTTCTTTACCTTTATTTTACATCCATTTTTCATATTTATCAATTATTCACGTTTTGTTTTCCATTAAATTATCAAAAGTTTGGGCCAGCTGAGTGGCACATTGGTTAAGAACTGGCTTGGGATGGCAGAAGGCCCCGGTTCAGATCCCACATATGAGGGCCAGTGACACTGTTCTCTGCAGCTAAGATGGTGAACGGGAGCTCGACCTGGGGCTGGGCTGCCGTGGGTCACCGGACATGGAGTAGGCTGCAGCCCCTGTGGCAGTGGGCTACCATAAGCTACCGTGTGTAGCCAGCAGCCAGTGTGAGTGGCCAGCAGCCGCCGTGAGCGGCCATCCAGAAGCCGGCGACTGATCTGTCTTACCCGGGAAGAGCACAACGATGGTGCCAACATGGGCCAGTGAAGCAACGTCCTCCACAACTAGACTGAAGAACAAAAGGACAGCAACTTGTCTGCTCCCCTTCCCCCAACTCCCCAGTGCTGTTTCCCTCCCCCAAATCCCCAAAAAATATTTTTTAAAATTAACAAAATTTTTATATACTAAAAAGTATCAAGCTTTCTCACTCAGTTTTCAGAAAAAGTACCATAGGCCACATGACATAAACAACAGTTATTGATGTTCACACTGTGCAGGCTGGAAAGTTGAGAATCAAGGTGCCGGCTGAGTCTGGTTCTGGTGAAAGGCCTGACCTGGCTGCAGTTGACCACGTTCTTGCTGAGCCCTCACATGCCTCACGTGATGGAGGGAGGTCTCTCTCTTCCTCTTTGTACAAGGATGCTCTGACCCTGTTAGAGTTGGATCACCACATTCTGACCTCATCCTCCTGTGAACCTCTCTTGCTTCATGATATTGTGTTTACCTTTTAAGTATCCAAATCATAATGGTTTGTTGTAATAGGAGGAAAACATTCTCACACGTACACAGAATATGGGTCACTTATAGCCACTTACTCTTTTGGGTAAATGCCAGTGAATCACCACATCTTCTGACCTAGGTCACCTAAATCTATAAATAGGTTCTGCTGGTCTCAACAATGCTGCACAGCACCACACAGCTCAGTGTCCGAGCCAGCCAGCAGCAGGAAAAAGAACATGCTGGACACTGGGTAACAGAGGCGATAACCCAAAAGCAAGAGAAGAAAGACTGCCACTGGGTCATTGACTTGGCACCAGGCTCATAGCACCAATAGTGGCTGACACCATGCAGAGGCAGAGGGGCCCCCATCACAACTTATTATGTCACACACACACAAACACACGTAGCCTATGAAAGGTTTGTTGCCTCCATTATTGAGGTGTTTGTTGAGAACAGGGCAGGCCTTCCAGCAGGTCAGACACAGTCCGACAGAGCCAGGAAAGGAGGCCGGCTCACAGTTATTATGGTGATTCAGTGATGGGAGACAAGGCAGGGTCCTGCCCACAGGAGGGGCTATGTGGTTTCAGACTCTCACCTGCATCAAACAAGGGGGAGTCCCCACTTTCTCCTCAGATCTCCCACATGTGCACAGAAGGAGAAGAGACAGGAATGAACCCAACATGTCAGAGTCAAACATCACAAAACAGGGTCTGACTCCTTATTCCACTTAACAACTATAACAAATGAGTGAAAAGGAGATAGTGGCCATTTCGAGTAGAA